GACCAGTCAATTCTGAAAATATCCAAGGATAAACAGACTGTAACTTCTCTGGTCATACCACACACCTGTGTAGGGGTGTCTAGATTACACAACTAGCAGAGTAAAAATTATTTTTCAACAAGACACCACAAATTTACATGGGCAACTCCAAATTTACACTGGAAATTCAGAAGTTACATATGCAGTACATACCATATGGAAGAATAAAATGTTCACCTTCATTCCTTAACACACAATCAGAAAATGTAGTATAACACTAAAATAAACCACAATTTTTTCAATATACTTATTTTCTATCACTGTTCAGCAGGGGATAATCATCACCTGCTGGTTCTTTCTAGGCAGAATACATATTGCACTTTTCAGTAGCTGCTTCAGTGTGTGGGTGGTGTGTTCCTGAAATTACTAATAAGACTTAAGCTTACTGCAAAAGAGACAACATTGCAAATCAAGAGTTTAATAGAAATATTTTTTATGGGTAGTAGAGCTTTCCATGTTACTCCCATTTATGTAAATTTCTAATTTAATCTACTAAATTAGGAAGAAAAATAATATTTTTTACTGAAGGTTAGAAATAATAGGAAATTATTATAGATAATACAACTGTCTTACTCTAGCTATCCATACTCAGGTGTATTTTAGGCCAAAGCTTTCTCAACTTTGTCTACATCACCACTAAATAAGGGGACAGGTTTCCTCCCCTGTAACATATAAATTAGATAATGCCACAAGACTTTCTGTTTCTAATTTTGGAGAACTTCAGCACTAAGTAAGATGAGCCAAATCTGCTTCTTTCCCAGTCTAGTTTGAAATGTGCTTTCACTGAATCACTGAAAGGTAAAGTTATTAATGGATTGAAAAACAAAGCTGAAGCACTTCACCCATTATTGTTTAATTAAAAACATGTTCTTTATTTTTTTCCTGTTTTTATTAAAAAGCAAAGAAGAAATACTTCCTCTTTTATACTATCTCCCCTGCACCGTAGCAGTTCAAAAATAACTTGAAAATTTGGCATCAAGCTTAAAATCTAAGAAAATTTTTGAGGCAATTGAAGATAGAAGGAGTTCAAACTGAAAGAATATGTTGAAATGAAAACAAACAATGCCAAATAAAATTCCCAATATTAGAATTTTTTCAGAAAGAGATAACAAATAGCCATGCTGACTCTCTCCAGAGAGTGTCAGTATAGAGCGTTTTTTAGGAGCAGATTTGATTTCTATGTGAAAACTGAATTAGCTCCTTACTTAATTACCCCATTCATCTCACACGTATCCTGAGCTGACTTGAAAATGTAAAAATAATTGCAACATAATAATTTTCAATGTCAGGCTTTCTACAGAACAACCTTAACTAGTTTCTACAATACAAACAGTATACAAATTCTCTTCCCATTAAAAATTACTTTTTAGAATTTATTAAAGGAAGTACAGACAGACAAAATGATCTTCGGGAAGGCAGACATGAAATACATAACCCTATTAACAGATGCATCAAACTCCAAACTTTAAATATTCCCGCCATAGCCTGTATTGATAAAGAAACTATTGCATACAGTTCTCATCTCCTAAAAATGTAGAAACATAACGTTTAAATATTTAGGTAAGTTTTCCATACATTTTTGTGAAGAGCCACGCTTCCCAGCATCTGGCAACATGAAGATTTATACTTAGGCTTTTGAATCAAAGTTCAATTTTTCCATAGCAACTGCACTGCACTCTTTATGTTATTTTCATTTTGTAACAGGGGTGTAACAAATGAGGTGTTCCTGGCTGTCATCATATCAAACACGCAGAATAACTGTCAGGATTCTAAGTTGTACATACAACACAATTCAAGTCACAGTCCAGTCAAGCTGACTCAGCAGCATCCTAAATGGGACAGAACTAAATCTGCCTTATCTCACAATTACTTCATATCATAATTACAAAAATATGCTGGTATGGCTGTCAAGATTAAGGTGTGTGAACTGCTTGCTTTAAACTGATAATTCTGGAGGGATCATATAGAACTCTGCAGCATTCATCTCTCTGACATTGCAGACTGCCCTCTATTTATCTCTGCCCATCAGGCCCTATTTGCCCCTTAACAGAAAAATATTCAAGGTATGCTATACTTGAAAAAGAAACTGGAATTATATACATACATTCAGAGTATGCTGCTTTATTCTCAAGTAAATGCAAATATGTATGTGGGTTTTGAATTTTTGCCCTAAACCAAAGATAAACTCAGAACAAAGGCCCAAATTAACCCTAAATCATAAGCTACAAATTGAATACACTCTCTGCTAAAACAAAAAGACATATCTAAATTTCAGTCTCCAAAAATCCAGCTGCATATTCTAAACCCCTGAATTTTTTGCAAGGCACAAAGATTTTTCCACAAAGCTCTTCCAGCACTTCACCAATTTTGAGACTGTAAAAAAGAGTTGATTGTTCTGAGAACACCTGAATTGCTGCTATACTAGGTTTTAAATAACATTTTACATAGAACTTTCTATAATAGCCCTTTCTAAAATGACACTTCCCAGCACAGTAGAGACAGCAATAACACACTGCATGCCAGAAGTACCTTCAGACAAGCTTTTTTCCCTAACTGCAAAAAAGAAACCAAGTTTGTCAAGATTACTGCCCTCTCCTTTGGCATATTGAAAACTGTGAGCTCACTAGGTCACAGATGGACATTTTCATAATCTCACCTAAAACTCAATTTCATGTTATCACTGTGCCTCTCGCTGTGTATATAAAGCAAGAATCAATCTTTATGTTTGTTCACCTTTGACGTGCAAACACAATATATTTATACGATTGCAACATCTATTTTTAAATAAAGGAGAAGTGTAAAAATGAACTCGTTTGAGTCCAAGAGTAATTGATAGAGCCTTTTCCCTATTTTTGGATCTTTAGGAGAGTACAAATTTTAAGACACCATGTCAAATACCCTTATCTCACAGTTTCTTCCTGATGAAGTCTGTGCTTTCTCATATGTTAGTGCACTGACATGAGTATCAGAAACATATTTTTGTACTTTTACCTAAAACATGCTATTGCACACAATATATAATTTGTTAGACCAATTCCAGATTCTGTTCTTAATCCTGAAATTTACATATATACTTTGTGTTTTCAATCCCTTAGGACAAGATGTTCTCTGCTGCCTTCTGAAGTAAATGCGAAAGATCCAACAGATTAGCTAACATCTTGAAAGACTGCATACACTGATGGCAACAACTTATAAAAACCAAAGTCACTGTCTTTTAGTTTGGAGATTTTTCACTACCTAATTTTCCTTTCTCCCATAAAAAGAAATCAACAAAAGACCAAAACTATCTCTGTCATGAATTTCTATGGATAGAAGCAATCTAGAAAGGCAATCTGTCATATCATAAATGAAAGCATAATAAATATACTCTTTTTTGTACTTATAATTAAAAATGTTATTGTTCTCAGAGCAAGAAGGATGAGATATCATAAGTCTGATCTTAAAATTTAAGTACAATGAATAACACTCATTCAGGAATCACTATCTTAAAACTTACATCATAGTTGAAATGAATCTCTCTTTACAAATAGGAAAGACATACCAACCAACCACACTTGATTGTGCTTTTCAAAGGCATCCCTCAATTTTATAGCACCCTTTATGTATACCTTACCTAAAGAAGAAACAAGGAAAACAAAAATATTTTCTAAAATTAGGAAACAAAAATGGCATGTATGTTCATCATAGGCAAGTTTAACAATAATTAAACCACAAGTGATATTTAAATCAGAAAAGTTCCATTTAAGAAATATGTTTTGAAACAAATCCTTAAAAATGAGGAATTAGTAACTAGTACTCCGATTGTAAATTGGGATGATTCTGACAACGCTGCACTTCGCCAAATGTCTAAAATGATGGATAGTATGAAGTAGGAAACAGCTACTGAAAGGGGAAAGGAATATAAAGGCTCCTTATCAAGAGACAGGGCAGTGCTCATTGTTATTCAAGCACATGAGCTGCCATATCCTGTTTCCATTGACTGCAGGGAAGGCTTCAGCATTGACTTCAAACAGGTGCAAGTCCCACGAGACTTAAAGGGAATAAAAGGTACAGTCACGGTATGAAAGCAACAGTGTATGAAATGTGGTGAGACAGGATATGGAATTCCAATGTGGTACACAAGAATCTGACAAAGCTATTTAAATGCAGTGCCAAGTAAGGATGCAACTGAAAAAACCCAGACATTTCTAAACAGAAATTTGGCAGGTCTTCATTCAATGCTACAAAAAAAAAAAAAGTGCAGGAAAAATGTTACACAAATGAGAGTGCTTAATTTATGGTGGGGGGAGAGAACAAGGGAGACCCAGAAGCAGCAATAAGCATCATCCTGTTCTGGAGCAATACAATACCACTTGTTCAGGACACAGCTGCTGGAATGCTTTGGTAGATACTGTAGACTGATCTGCTCTGAGACTTCTGGGACTCAGACCCAAATATATTACCCACTTCTATTTATTCTCTTCTGTATTATGATGAGCATTTGAAAACATTTGGGGATTTTTTCTTTAACTTACATAATATTCAAAAAGAAGTCTTAGGCTATATTCTTACATTGGTTGAGTTATGCATGATGTCCTCAATTAATTCTGCAAAGTAGCTGAGATGTCATTATATTAATTAGAAGCTGGTCAAAAATAGAGCACTTATCCCAAAGGAAACTATGTGACTTCAAAATTTCTTTCCAGATGGAAAAGAAAGCTATCCAACGCAGCAACTATCTGTCTAAAATAGGGGTAGCAAACATCAGTCTCCATATTAAACTGTTATGAATAATTATTATAGCAGGATGACTGAACCTCAACATTTAATTTTGGAAGCAGATTTTGACATTAAAATGAAGAGTGAAAGTAGCAATTTTGAAGGGAATCAGGCAAGACTATAAATAACTCTAAGGGTTAAGGCAGAGATTAAGCATCTCTTCCATAGTTACTAAGTTTTATGATGAAAAGGGAATCACATACCTGTGCAAGCATGGGAAATCCAAGGTTCCTGCATCCATTACAAGGTGTCAGTGCCTCCCATAAACCAGAAGGTCCACAAGAATTTTCAGCCGCATCATCATCTTCTTCTTCCCTTGATGATAAACGCATTGAAGAAGGCCTCTGTGCATAAAGAAACAATAATTTCAAATTAAACACAGTGATATATATTGAAAAGAAATTTTTTATGTTATGAACTTAAGAGCGTCCCATTCAGAAATACCAAAAGATAAACTGCTATTTTAATGCAAAGTACCTACTCAACTCTTAAACTGTTGTATGCAAATAATACTTTCTAAGGAAGGTGCATATTGAGCTATCTGTTATTATACTCTAAAATTGAGTGAATATATTAATACATATAAAAATACTTTCTGTCCTTTTTATCAAGAAATTGGCAATTTCTGCTTCATTTTACTTTAAAATTTGCTGTAATATCATTACATTTAGGATATTCCACCAAAATAAAAACTAACATTTGCCTGGATGGGTCCAAGAGTTTTGCAGACAAAAACTACTAAATCAATGAAAAGATGAGGTTTCAGGTTTTGCATTATATTTATCACCAATAAATGTGTTATCTTATTTTGTAGGCAAAAGATGTATTTAGAAATTATCTGTATTATTTTGCTTTATAGTCTGGAAGAGATGAAAAGTATCAGGAATAATCATTGACTTATAACACTGTGGCTTACATATTGATCTGAGTGATAAGGGAAAAATGTTGATTTTTGCTTAAACCAGTATCCTAATTTTCTATGACAGACAGAAATAGGAACAGTGGTCAGCTCCCATATATTTGTGTTATTTTGCTACACAAGACAATCCACCTCAACTGAACTGCAGTGGCAAGTTTTACTAATTTTAGAAGAAGAACGAAGAAAGTTAACCCAGTAATGAATGATTTTTAAAATCTCACATCAACACAAATTGTTACAAGTAAAAAAAAAAAAAACACAACTAAAACAATTTACACATTAATTCTTTGTCCCTACTTAAATTGGTATAAGAAATAACTGTTCTAGCCTGCTTCAAATTTGTTTAAGCAGCCTGCCTGATACTCAGATACTAAATGCTGTGTTTAGGAACACTTCTTTCAGAAGTGGCTGGATTTTTTCTTGACGAGAATGGCACTGTTTGAGACAATGGCTGACCACAGCTATCAATCTGATGGCAACATTAACTCTAAAGTGCTGCTATGGGGTAAAAATCATCTTAAAAACTCCAACACCTAACTGCAGATTATTTTAGCCAATAGAATAAAGAAATGCATGGAGTCTGCTGCAAGAAAGGGAATAGAGAAGTGAAAGAAAAGCAGGGAGGCAAACAAGTAGAGAAACAGCAGCAGCTCTAAAGATAAACACGATGGAAACTGTAGGAGAAGCAAAGGCACCGCACAGACAGACACTAACTCAAATTGTGTAACATCTGATGATCATTCAACTCTTGACTCCTGCGCTAACTTCTTAACACAAAAGTTGTTGGTATACCATTAATTTAAGCAGGGGAAATATTTAGAAATTCTATCTCAACTCATGCCATCACAGAGGAGAAACACAATATATTCCACTCCATTATTCTGAGTCCCCTTGGTTAGAAAATAGTTGTTTCCTTATTGCAGACTTCATGAATCTATCCATATCTTATAAAGTCAGGTGGATTTATTTACTTTTTATTTTAGAAGTCAATTTCTAAAACATTCTTAGCATGATATTTCATAAGGTTATTTTGACACTTTAGTAGTACCACAGAATATATTGCCATAGTAACCAATACTCTCACACTGATTATTAAAAGGATCGGGTTAATTCTGCAGAGTGTAGGTCGTAAAAGACTATTACTGCTAGGTATTTGCATAGACAAAGGAAGCAGACTAGAGGTCTTTCCCCTCTATTTATGACACCATCTTCCATTGTGGCCGCCCTACACTTGTATTTTAAATCTCAGAATTGCTCTAGCAGAGAATAAACCACTTGCCCTCTGGAGTAAAAAGCAAAGAAATGCAGCAGTGCTCAGCACAGGAAAGCAGGTGACACACATTAGCTGTAACCTTACAAGCCAATGGAAGTGAATGAATACAAAAGTCATATAAAAATGTCAGTGCACCCTGTAAAGGTAAAAAACCCACACACTTAAGTGAGACATTTTCAATACAACTAAAGGAAGATGAATTACAAGAGTCACTGAAGGGGGAGCATATGAGTATTCAGCCATTACAGGAACAGAGTGAAAAAACCCCATGCCAAACAATTATTGAACAGTAAAACCAAAATACACAAGCAGAATGAGCGTTGTATATTTCCATTAGGTGTATTTTATATAAATAGCCTAAGATAGAGTGTGAATCACAGGAATTTAATGTCTATGTGGATGTGAGGAAGCAGAAAGTACCTAGTCAGATCTTCTGATCATTTGAAAAAGGATCAGTCAATGCCAGAGTTCATTAGACACATGACTGGAACAAACTGGTGCTCTAGACAATGCAGGTATGAACATGACACAGACTAATTTACAGACTACTGTAGATCAGGGTGAGCTCTTTTTACACTTGCACAGATTTCTGCCACCAATAAGGCACTAAAAAGGCACCATTAGGAAAAGTCTATTTGGAGGGTGAAGAAACAGTTACTGCCATCAGCTTTCTCACCCATCCCTGCTTGACAGATGCCCAGTTCCACCCAAACAGTGGGAAAAAGATATGTGGGAATTACTGCAGGGAAAGAGAGCTGCTTTTGCAAAGAGGAAGGAAGGAGTTAATAGCTGCATGAGAGAAAAGGGTCAGAAGTGCCCCAAATTTGATAGACTGGGGTTGCATACCCTGGGAAGAGGGATGTGTCTGGAGAGGCAAATGAGATACAGAAAAACCTACAATCAATTCACAGAGCTCAGACTGTCACACAAACCCATAAAACTCCAAATCCAGACCACACAGTTTCCTGTTACTCTCTCACAGCCTTCGTTCCTTTCCCAGAACTCCCTAATTTTTCTGTTCTGTTGTATAATTTAATTTTACCTCCTTAGAGATCCTTTGAACATGAAAATCTAATTCTGTGTGTGCTACTGGGAAGCCTTGATATAGCCCTGTAGGGAGAGTTTTAGAAAAACCAAAGTTATTTACACCCACTTCTCAGAAAATAAATAAATATATAGAGCAGAAGGTATTTCTGTCAACTAAAGAAAAACAGGCACCATTTAGAACCTCTTCTTTATGCCTGTTTGGAGGTAAAACAACCCAAACAAATGTAGTTAAAAATGCCATCTAAATCACAGTTATTCAATTAATTGAATTAGACATTATGAAATGGCAAATATAAAGAGAATATAAAGAGAACATAAACTGCAGTACTAAGCTTCAGTAAGGGAACTTCTGCCTAAGTTAGAAGAGACAAAAGCATAAGCAGCATATATCCTCAAACAGAACAGACAGAAAACCTTACATGATATTAGATATGATAAGCAAAAGGAAAATTTGGTAGAGAAATCACAAGATATTAATAGAATTAAAGCTTTATTAAAATCTCTGGTTTTTACTGGAACACTGAATCAAATATTAGACATTGCTTGCAGTAGTAAAAGGCTAAGAAAGTAATTTCTCTGAGTAAAGAGAGGATAATAATGATACAGCAGTGAGAGAGTAGTAAGATCTAGCATAAGGACATTGTACCACTACAACTAGTGACAAATTTTCTTCAGACACTACTAAGCCTATCACATCACCTCTCATTTTCATACTTAATGAGTATTTAAATAATGTCTTCCAAAATTTAGGTATGGAAGCCTTCCTTTTCATGTCTTGATCTACATAAAAGGCAAAACTTTGGGCACTAGGATACTTTAGATTGAAGGACACTCTATAAAGAGGCTATTTATTTTCAAAATGTATGTACATGTATGATTGTCTATCACAATAACTTGTAATCTCTATCCTAATCTAAGAGTGTAAGCTAGTATTTATCAACAGAGAGAAAAATACAGACGAATACGGAAAGAAAAAGCAGAGAAAGTCTGTTAAGTCAACAACAAGAGAAGGTGAGAGCAGCTTTAATCTTAACTATTATTTACAGTCACCAAGTTCACAGCTCAACAACTGTACACCATGTATAAAACATATATAAATACCTTTATGTATGGCCTTCTTTTTATCAAATGTTAACTGTCTCCTATCTAACATATGACCTTATTACCTAGACAAGTTTTTTTAAGGAATACAGTAAATGATACAAGATGTCTTATTTCCTTTCAGTCCCTCCTTTTTTCTTAGCTTTTAGTGACGACTAGTCTGCTTTCTGCCTTGACATTTGTAAGCAGCCACTGCTAGGGAAAATATTACTCAATTCTTGTTTCAGAATATGTAGGAGACTTTTCTGGACTAGTCCAGTGAAACCTAAAAACAAACATCAAAACCTTTCCTTCTTGCATCTGTTTTTTTCACAATATCATCCAAATTGCAGAAGTATTTTACATACCCCTTCAAACAGTATCTGCTAAAGCAAAACATCATCAGCAAACTATTAAAGATTAAAAATAACAGGACTTTTACTGTTTGCTATTGCATCATAGCTCTGGAGACAGGAACATTACCTTATCATTTATCTTTGTTAGGAAACAATATTTTTAAATGGAGCAGTAAAGATGAAATCCAGAAGGCAATACCGTTCTGCTTACGGAAGGCAGAAAGCAACCAGACATTTGATAAGCCAAGTGCTGCCACTCAGTTTGAAACAGTGAGGTCAGTAGGAAGCTTCTTCTGTAGAAATAATTTGTCAAACATGTATTTTATATCATCCTAACAGAGAGGATGGCCAAAGGACATGTACCTTACACTGTGAAATAAAAACAAAAAATTACAGGTCTTTTACCTAGTATTCTGTTTTGACATTATTATTTTGACATTATTATTACTAAGAACTAATAGAACAGTTCCTGAATCTTCTCTATAAATTTGGATAAGCAGGTCTATCTCTGCCACAGCTGTCCCCAGCAGCTGCAGGCAGGCGAGCCAGGGAGAGAAGAGCTGGGACAGTGTTCTGTGCTCTCAGTGCTCCCCCTGCTGCTACCCAAGCTGCTCTCAGGGGAAATGCCTGAGGTATGCAGAAGAAAAAAGAATATTAGGGCATGATATA